AACCTACAGGTGGTTACAAGTAAACAGAGAAGCTTGAGAGAGGGGGACACATACCCCTTAGTCCTTAAGTGAAGGAGACAGGGTCCCAGTGGGAAGGTGACCACTGGGATGCAGTTGACAATTTTGCTCCGAATGGTTTAAAAGACATGCATTGCTCATGTACAGGACACTTGCCAGCTAGCAGTAACTTTGAACGTGTCGTCCTGAGAGTCTCTTATCTAATACAGTTTCTTCCTCTCTCTCTCTCACTCACTCTCTTTCTCACACACACACACACACACACACACACACACACACACACACACACACACACACACACACACACACACACACACACACACTATCTTTCTCTGTTTCTCTCTCTCAAATAAAGAATAGGGGGATATGGAGGACAAGGGTAGAACCAAGAGGAGGAAAATGTGATATAGACTATTCCAATGATAGTTTCTTATTTTGGGTAGAGGTTGGAGCATAGTCTATAGTCTAATATTCAGTTGTCACTGCTACTGATCGACCTGAAGCAGCAGAAAGTGGAAGCAGGTGCCCTCTTTGAGATGAGATTTGGTAACAACACAACCTATAAGGGTGGTTACACCTATTACAGGTCAGGCTGTAGTGTTAGTTGCCATCTTCAGGGGGTAGTAATATCCATCTAAAAGACTTCAGCCTTCAATAGTAAAGGCAACTACAGTTAATGAGAATAAAATTATTGAAGGACATTCATGACTTTTTGTCTCTAATTACTGTGCGAGCAATTTCTTCTTGGTTTCTACATCATTTCAAACCTTACTGTGTAGACACTGTTTCAGTTATATGTGCTTTGTTTTCATTCTTGTTAAGTATATGTCTGATTTTCTGTATCTCTTTTATGTTGTCAAGTTTGTGAAAAGAACTTTTTTTTCATTTGGTATTGTGTGTAGGTGCCCATGATTTTTTTTTGCTTTTTTTCTACTATTTCATTTCCTTTGATACATTTGTGCACTGTTATCCATATCATTTTTCCTTTGTGATTATATCCTGAAAATGTTTCTATTTTGTGGATCCGAGGTTTTTGATACATTAACCCATTGCCGCCAGGGAAAAAAAAAAAAAAATGAAATGTGAAATGTCTCTGTACATAGATGGCTCTGCTAGTCTTAGCCACACAGGAGTCAATTAGTAGATCTTTGGACCTTACCCAATTTCACCTTTCCTTGAATTGGCAGGAAAATGGTATTTGTTACTAGTCCTATAAATATTGATGGTGTTATTTTTATTATAAACAATATAATTACTATAATGTTATAAACATCTTTAACAGCAAAATCAGATAATGTAATATATTTTCACAAATCAAGGAAAAGGGTGAACAGGCGAGACAGGCAATACTCATAACAGGCTCACTGGTGACTTAGTACAAGTGTAGCCATCTACGTGTAAAAATAATTAAAAGTAAACTCACAGTAAAAGTAAACTCACAGTGGGCATGGCATATACGTACATGCCATGCCCGTCAGCAAGGGGTTAAATCGTTGATATGGAGTCTGATACTTTGGTGTTTGAAATGTATTTTAGTACTTGTTCTATGGGGGGAAAAAAATTGGTTGTTATTACTTTTGTATAGTCTTGAAGTTTACAAATTGTTGTAGTGTTTCTGTTTTGTATGTAAACTGAAGGTCAAAAGAACTGCTGTGATTGGGTGCAGCATCCAATAACTACACACTGGCTCAATAGGTATTATGAATTTAATAGGGAAAAGAGAAAGAAAATGCCATGGTCTTACAAAAACCTAGAGATAAGTTTTTGTTACTGAGGTGTAGTTACTTTTACTTTAACTTTCAAGGACATGTGAGCCACTAGAAATATATAGTAGATCTACATGGATATGCATAGGAATTCTGGGTGAAGGCCAGCATGATGGGAATGACTCACCAGGAGTGTACAAAGCTCCTGGAGAGTGATCAAACTCAGTGGGCATTTAGAAAGGGGCTCTTTTCCCATTGATAAAGGAGTGTGGAACCATCCATGAGCAACGACTAAAAGGACTCCAGCTCCAGGGAGGATACTATTTCCGAGCTAAGGACCCTATTCCTGCCCATGACCAGTGTCACAGATATTAAAGAAAATTGAACATTACAACAAAATTCAAAAAAAAAAAAAAAGAAAAAAGAAGAAAAAAAAAAATTCCTGCAAACAATCAAATGTTACTTATCATTATTTTGGTTACAATGAGTTAAGACTAACTAGCGAGATTATGTGCAGTCTGTGCAAGAAAATTAGTCTATTACCGTCTGGACACAGTATATGAAATGACAAATATAAATATTGGAAAATGGCAAAAAAGCAAAAAATGCTTATGCACATGAGTGTTCAATGTGTGCCCGGCCAACAAGCCACACACCTGTAAAAGTAGCTACTCAAGTGAGCCTAATGCAAGGTTTTTGGCTACGTATGAACAGCAAAGCAACCCAGATCTAAGACCTTATGGGGGGCTATTAAGAACCTCTATAATTCAAGCCAATTTTTTTATATATTTTTAACATTTTTATACATATCTATTGTAGAATTTGAACTGCCAAGTTTCAGTTTAGATGAATAAAAAAGTAATGAATAGTTGTTGAGGAGGTAGAAGGGGTGTGAGGTTGAGAGTCTCTTCTCCTGCCCATAGCCTGCAAACTATATCCATCCCTTACCTCCTCTCCCCATCTCTCCTACATCCTCTCCTTGCCTCTCACGCATCCTCTCCCCATCTCTTACTCACATTCACCCCATCTCTCACACATCCTCACCCCCTAATTTTCACATACCTGAGGTTTTCCTTATAGTCCTCACCAAAGTTTCCTGAATTCTTCCTGTCCTTGCTGTTACCATCCATCTTTGCCCTTTTCCTACACAATAACCCGCCAATGCCACCTGACTCAACACACATACATACATGCACATATATGTATACCCAGGGAATGATATCTTTGAATAGCTCATGGTATGGGAATTAGTATTACTATGCTTTTAAGGTAACTTACCATGAGTGCTCTAATGCTTAATCTAGTTTATGATTTCACTTGCTTTTCATTCTGTTCTGTTTTTGTTTTACTAATTAGGCTTACAGTCTTACATTACATGACACATAGCTCACACCTTTACTTTACACAGTACTATAGCTTCTGATTTGTTTTACTTTGTTTCTCACCTTTTTGGTTGATTTTACACAGGTGGTCAGGTGCATAACTTAAGAGTTTTACCCAGCTATTTCTATCAAATATATTGGTTTTCATATTCTAATTACAAGCAGGCGACTCATGTTTACATGTTTGTTTCTATTAGGCGTTCCCTTAGCCTTTAGCCGCTTCTGTTAGACATTTAATTTATGCAGATAGCCTTTTCCCATATTTTTATCTTTGTCAATTTTACATTCTATTTTGTCATTTTATATTCACTTAACCCGAGACTTCTGATTTACTTTTATTTTTTATTTCTTAAAGGTAAAGTTTGATGCACCTTTATATTTTATTGAATATAGTTTTAGTTGTATTTATCTTATGTAATTAATTGTTCTCTTTTACTTAGAGATTTCTTTTATGATTCTTTTTATGTTTAAATATTTCCTTTTACTGAATATATTTACTTATCTCGGATGAGACAAATCCCCAATACGTATATTTTCAAACATCAGTTGGTTATTATCCAGAACAACTAAAGATCTAATGCCTCCTCTACAGTTAGGGAGAATATGTGCAAAATTAGTAGTGAACTGGTTTGAATTCTGTAAAGTAAGATTGCTAAAAAATTGGGCAGGAAACTCTCTAGGTCTAAATCACATAGAGAACCTCTGAGCATATACGAAGCACCATTTTATGGCCAAGGATACATCCTACATCCTGTGCCTTCCAGCCACCATGCAGGACATTTGGGACAATATCAAGCCTGAATAGTTACAGCACCTAGCTGATTCCCTTACAAAGTGGCTTCAAATGGTCAAGAAAAGTCCCATCAATTTTAGTCAGTATCCCTCTTAGCACCATTTTCTACTGCATTAATCGTCTTCTCCAAAGTTGAGACTCGTATTCACAAGATTGGCGCCTTCTGCCACCAACAGTAGTGTGTGTATATATGTGTATATCTGTTCACTTGAACTTTGTTCCATAGTGTGCTTTCCCTCTCCCCCCCAAAATTTGGGTGAACAATTTTGCTGTGCTATGCAGCTACTTGCTTATTATCATAAATGCTATCCTTGCAAGGTAGACACCACTGAGGCCTGTTATGAAAGAAATGCCTTAATTAGCTGATTGAGAATGTAATAAGGGCTTGAAACTGATGTAGAGGAATTCTTTATTGCTCATACATATATAACTAATAAAGATAGAAAGGTAATGCTTTTAAAGGCTTAAAGTTGGCAATCTTCTTGGTTGTTTACAAATTGGCTGCAAGGTGAAAGAAGTTTCCTCCAATCCTCTCCCCCTTCTCCCTGCAATGACTCACATAAAGTTTTGTCATCTTGACCATTCACTAGATTTTACAGTGCAAAGCATTCCACTCTGCCTAACAGAATACAGGGAATGTCTCACTCACACACACACACACACACACACACACACACACACACACACACACACACACACACACACACACATACACATACACATACACATACACACACACACACACACATACACATACACACACATACACACACACACAAATACACACACACATATATAAACATATATGTATAAAAATATTTACATATTTATCATAAAGAAAAGGAAAAACTATATTAACTTATACATGAAAGAATCTGCTAAGGCAAATAATAACATAAAAAAACGAAGAAAATAGGATATGCAAATGTGGCACAGAGAGTAAGTCCACCGCAATTGCATGGGGTTCAGGGGTGGAGCCCTCTTTTAGGAATTACAGCAACAGGGTGGGGGTGTACATCTATCATTCCAAATTATAAGTTATGACAAAAATACTGACTAGTATATGCATGTGGCTGGGAAAAAGGACAATCACAGTTCCAT